AGGTCACCAGGGTTTATTTATTGGTCCATAGGTCACCATCTTCTTGAGGTAAAGGCCATCAGACACACCATGCTATAAATGGTGTTTTGGCTTGTTGTGTAGATGTTATTAGCGTTAATCTGGTTATACCCTGTTGTCTCTCCTGGTCTTACTAAGATCAAGGTAATAATATGTTGACAGTATAAGATTGTTTAAAGATAATCATGTGCTAAATCTTAGTAAAGTTGTCTTATTTAGAAGATAAATCTGTAAATATTAAAGTTCACTAACCAGAAAATGATAAATCAGCTGAAATTGTGGTATTTTCGCCGGAGGAAATGTCCAATGTCGGCCTGACGTGTTTACTATTGTAAGCACTTTTTTGGATCTGTGTCTGTTTAACAGTTACAACTGATGTTCGCCTTCATACATGTCTGCTGTCAAGCACACCACCTATATACCTAATAATCTATGCTTACCACTTTTTCAATTCAAGCTCTCTGTCTTGATTCAATGGTGTGTTTTAAAAGCTAAAATTAACTAGAAGAGGGTTTGAGGAATCGGGAAGGAATAGTAATGAGACAAAAATAGCTCATTTAATCTTTCACCCTGTAAAACTTTCAAAAAAATGAGGAGCATTACATTCAATTGTGATTTCTGTATTTACTTCAGCCTTCGTTTGAATTTTTTTGAAACGTGATTCACACAATATTTCAATACTTCCAGTAAGTTTAAGCCTGAGTAAAAAGGTAGGTCAATGACACCATAATTAGAAAATATTCTCACATTTGAAATAAGGAAACTCTGTAAGACACATGTCTTGTGTACAGTGTCTTTGAAACTGAAAATTCTTTTAGAGAAGGATTGCTATACCTGAAAAGTTTCTTAAAGAACCTCTCTGTGCTAGTGGACACAACTTCCAGATTTGTCCGTCAATGCTTCTTACCTTGGGTATATGAGATAGTTGACATATTCTTGTTAGCCTAGTCAGGACTTTGTTTTGTGTGGAAATTGGATTTAGACCAGGATCACTATGATCAAGCTCTGCAGATTTCAGTTTTAAAAAGAAATGACACAGTTTATATGAATTACTACCAATCTCATTACCAGTTAAAAGTATGTTAGTGAATGAAAACACTAATGCATATTTGCAGAATCAGCTGTTCAAACATTTGTTGTAAGGAATACCCAAGTATAAATGGATAGTTCCAAGTAATCCCTGCTTGTTTAAAGTGACATTTCAGATCAATTCAAAGGAATGCTAATAAAAAATGGCCGTGATTTGTTATTTGACATTTTTCAATGAACCTAGCAAATTGTTCTATAACCAACTTTCTCTTTAACAAGATGTGGAGAAATCAATTTCAAATGACTGGAAATATGTGGTTTTCTGTATGTTACTCATTACTGGAAACAGATTTCTTCAATATCGGCTGATTCTGTTGAGCTTTAAAAATAAAACAATTGTGGCATTCAACATAAATCAAAGAGGTACAACATTAAGAAGTAAAATTTGTTGAAACAAACGATTAATCCTAAAGGACTTCTGATAATTTGTAAACTTAATGATGTATGTCTTTTAAGAATCAGTTGCATACTCTCTCTCAACGGTAGCAATCTACACCCAGACAATTGTTCTAAGAACAGTACCACAGACCTTGGTTCATAACATCCTCAGTACCCTGAATATTCTTTCATTTGCTTTGCTGTATTAAGACTTTCAGTGGGAGGAAACCATAGCACCGGGGAAAACCACATCAACGGGCAGGTGATCCCATACCTTTTCATGTTCAATCAGGGAATTAAACCCTGGTCGCCTCGGTGATACGCGAGTTTGTATCACCTAATCTCCCAATTACTGCTAAAGTTCATTTAGAGTGATATGAAATAGGCAGTACCTTAAAGTAAACACATTTTGACAATATGCATATTTACAGTGCACAGTTTGGGCTGCTTGTTTCATGGCCTCGTGTTGTTTAATGTTATGTAAATGTTTGTTCAGTTGCTTGGTATTATCTATTTGTATGATGTAAAGTTTGTTTTTATTTCCATATCAGAAGGGACAGTTTGTGTTTGTTGTGTGTTATTGGAGGAATTGTTGTGAAATAGAGTTTTGTATTTGTCTATCATTCTCTCCAGGAGAATATTCCCATGTGTTTGTCTCTCCAGGAGATAACCATCATGTGTTTGTCTCTCCAGGAGAATATTCTCATGTGTTTGTCTCTCCAAGAGATAATTATCATGTGTTTGTCTCTCCAAGAGATAACCATCATGTGTTTGTCTCTCCAGGAGAATATTCTCATGTGTTTGTCTCTTCAAGAGATAACCATCATGTGTTTGTCTCTCCAGGAGATAATTATCATGTGTTTGTCTCTCCAAGAGATAACCATCATGTGTTTGTCTCTCCAGGAGATAACCATCATGTGTTTGTCTCTCCAGGAGAATATTCTCATGTGTTTGTCTCTCCAAGAGATAACCATCCAAGAGATAACCATCATGTGTTTGTCTCTCCAGGAGAATATTCTCATGTGTTTGTCTCTCCAAGAGATAACCATCCAAGAGATAACCATCATGTGTTTGTCTCTCCAGGAGAATATTCTCATGTGTTTGTCTCTCCAGGAGAATATTCTCATGTGTTTGTCTCTCCAGGAGAATATTCTCATGTGTTTGTCTCTCCAAGAGATAACCATCATGTGTTTGTCTCTCCAAGAGATAACCATCATGTGTTTGTCTCTCCAGGAGATAATTATCATGTGTTTGTCTCTCCAAGAGATAATTATCATGTGTTTGTCTCTCCAAGAGATAACCATCATGTGTTTGTCTCTCCAGGAGATAATTATTGTGTTTGTCTCTGTGTTTGTCTCTCCAAGAGATAACCATGTGTTTGTCTCTCCAAGAGATAACCATCATGTGTTTGTCTCTCCAGGAGAATATTCTCATGTGTTTGTCTCTCCAAGAGATAACCATCATGTGTTTGTCTCTCCAGAAGAATATTCTCATGTGTTTGTCTCTCCAGGAGATAACCATCATGTGTTTGTCACTCCAGGAGAATATTCCCATGTGTTTGTCTCTCCAGGAGATAACCATCATGTGTTTGTCTCTCCAGGAGATAACCATCATGTGTTTGTCTCTCCAGGAGAATATTCTCATGTGTTTGTCTCTCCAGGAGATAACCATCATGTGTTTGTCTCTCCAGGAGAATATTCCCATGTGTTTGTCTCTCCAGGAGATAACCATCATGTGTTTGTCTCTCCAAGAGATAACCATCATGTGTTTGTCTCTCCAGGAGATAACCATCATGTGTTTGTCTCTCCAGGAGATAACCATCATGTGTTTGTCTCTCCAAGAGATAATTATCATGTGTTTGTCTCTCCAAGAGATAACCATCATGTGTTTGTCTCGCCAAGAGATAATTATCATGTGTTTGTCACTCCAAGAGATAATAACATGTGTTTGTCTCTCCAGGAGATAACCATCATGTGTTTGTCTCTCCAGGAGATAACCATCATGTGTTTGTCTCTCCAAGAGATAATTATCATGTGTTTGTCTCTCCAAGAGATAATTATCATGTGTTTGTCTCTCCAAGAGATAACCATCATGTGTTTGTCTCTCCAGGAGATAATTATCATGTGTTTGTCTCTCCAAGAGATAATTATCATGTGTTTGTCTCTCCAAGAGATAATTATCATGTGTTTGTCTCTCCAAGAGATAATTATCATGTGTTTGTCTCTCCAAGAGATAACCATCATGTGTTTGTCTCTCCAGGAGATAATTATCATGTGTTTGTCTCTCCAGGAGATAACCATCATGTGTTTGTCTCTCCAGGAGAACATTGTCATGTGTTTGTCCCTCCAGGAGAACATTGTCATGTGTTTACAGTGCCATCATTCCCACCTTCCAGTTCTTCTTATGTAAACAGTTTTTGAGTACACTTGTTTGTGATCCTCAGTTTTATTATCTGAATCAAGTTCTCAGAAGGGAACCATCTGTCTCAGTGTAATTAGTCTTTACTTCAGCTACTGTGAAGATGTAATTGTTGGACCCGAGGATCTGTCAGACATGTTTTAGGCATTCTTGGAAGGGGAATCTGTCAGAGTTGCCTATGGTCTGCATTGTACAATGCAGTAGCATTGTTGGGTTACAGGTTAAAACTATGATATGATTCAATTTAAAAATTATCATATGCTTTCATGTTTTCTTTGCATCACAGGAAAGACTAGTCTTTCATGATATGATTATCTTCCATAAGTTGTCCAAACAACGATTAATGTCTTATTCATATATCCATACATAGTAATTTCCATTGCTTCCCAAACATACATGATTATAGATGTCCATACATTGCTTTCTGTACAGAAATATGTAGTTATTGTCTGTCCACACAGCTGTACATATTCATTGCTGTCTGTACAGAAATATGAAGTTATTTTCTGTCCATACATCTTTACATATTCATTGCTGTCTGTACATAAATATGTAGTTATTGTCTGTCCATACAGCTGTACATATTCATTGCTCTCAGTACAGAAATATGTAGTTATTGTCTGTCCATACAACTGTATTTATTGCTTTCTGTACAGAAATACCTATGTAGTTATTGTCTGTCCATACAGCTGTACATATTCATTGCTGTCTGTACAGACTCTTATAATCATTGTCTGTCCATACATCTGTACATATTCATTGCTGTCTGTACATAAATATGTAGTTATTGTCTGTCCATACAACTGTGCATTGCTGTCTTTACAGACTCCTATAATCATTGTCTGTCCATACATCTGTATATACTTATTGCTGTCAATCCAGACATACATAATTGTCCGACCACACTTGTTGCTGTCGATATATATTCATTCTTATACTGGAGAATTTTTCATACAGCTTTACCACACTGTACTCTCTGCTTGTACGTTTTGTGAGAGAACAGGCTGTATAGAATAAAAGAGTACTAACTGTATTTGTTTACTATAAGTAAGCTGCACTTCTGAAGTCCAGTAAGACATGTTTGTGTCTACTTGCAGTGTGACGGGTGGGGAGCTGTTTGACAGAATAGTGGAGAAGGGTAGTTACACAGAGAAAGATGCCAGCTCCCTTATCAAACAGGTTCTGGAGGCTGTTGACTTCATGCACGAGTTGGGCGTGGTGCATCGGGATCTAAAGGTAAATGTGTGATCTACAAATCTAGATTTAAAAGTAGTAAGGGACAACGCCTACAGGTTTAAAGGTTGGAGGGGTGAAGTCTATTTACAACTAAAGTTAGAAGGGGGTTTGGTCTACAGATTTTTTGATAGGAAAGTGTGTGATCTACAGAATTAAAGGTAGGAAGGGGCATGGTCTACAGATTTGAAGGTTGGAAGGGGGCATAGTCTACAGGATAAAATGTAGGAAGGGTACGTAGTCTACAGGATAAAACGTAGGAAGGGTGCATAGTCTACAGGATAAAATATAGGAAGGGTACATAGTCTACAGGATAAAATTTAGGAAGGGTACATAGTCTACAGGATAACATATAGGAAGGGTACATAGTCTACAGGATAAAATTTAGGAAGGGTACGTAGTCTACAGATTTAAAGTTGGAAGGGACGTAGTCTACAGAATTAAAGGTAGGAAGGGGGCGTAGTCTACAGAATAAAGTGTGGGAAGGGGTGTAGTCTAGTCTAGAGAATAAAGCGTGGGAAGGGATGTAGTCTACAGAATTAAAGGATGGAAGGTGTTTGGTCAACAGACTTTATGGTAAAAGGTAGTATGGTTTGCAAATTGTCACTGATTGCAGGAATATAAAGATAGAATGCACCTTGGCTTTATCCAGTTAAATGTCAGTATAAAAAGGGTGAAAATTTCTTCTTTTAGATGAAGTGTTATTTGTTGTTTTTGTACAACTTTTTATGGCTGAAGTAACGTTTTCAAATATATATGAACAAGCCAGTATCATATAAAAATATTTTATGTGAAATGATGATGACATTTAAAAAGAAAATCTGATTTGTAAGATAATTGCTACTATTGTCTGTTTTCAGCCTGAGAATTTGCTGTATTACAGCCCCAAAGAAGACTCTAAAATAATGATAAGTGACTTTGGGCTTTCAAAAACAGAAGACTCAGGTATCATGGCAACAGCCTGTGGAACCCCTGGTTATGTAGGTAAGTTTACTTGGAGATCTGTGTGTTGAATTCACCTATCTACTGTCAGACACGACAATACTTGTACCTAATTTCTGTGTATGATTAGTTTGTAACTACTGAAGAAAAATTCAGAATTATTTGCTTAAAGTTTCAGCATATTTCTGTAGCCTAATTAAGTTTTATGCCACTGCATTTTTGTAGGGGGTAGGTTACCCTAATTTAGTTTTAGGTCCCCACCTTTTTATAGGGGGTAGGTTACCCTAATTTAGTTTTATGCCCCTGCCGTCTTGTAGGGGGTAGGTTAGCCTAATTTAGTTTTATGTCCCTACCTTTTTGTAGGGGGTAGGTTAGACTAATTTAATTTTATGTCACTGCCATTTTGTAGGGGGGTAGGTTAGGCTAATTTAGTTTTATGCACCTGCCGTCTTGTAGGGGTAGGTTAGCCTAATTTAGTTTTATGCAACTGCCGTCTTGTAGGGGGTAGGTTAGCCTAATTCAGTTGTATGTCGCTGCCATTTTGTAGGGGGGTAAGTTTGCCTAATTTAGTTTTATGCACCTGCCATCTTGTAAGGGGTAGGTTAGCCTAATTAAGTTTTATGCACCTGCCGTCTTGTAAGGGGTAGGTTAGCCTAATTTAGTTTTATGCCCCTGCCTTTTGTAGGGGTAGGTGGATAACTGTCTTTCAATATCCCGTTCAGACTCATTGCCATATCTTGAGATTCACTCAACAATAAACTTTATTTACCCTATGGTATTGTCGCATCAATTTCTTTACATATTTTTTTTTAAGATAATTGTTTTAGATTAAAGAGTCAAAGATAAAATCATTTGACATTTGCTGCAAGTCCATTAGACGATGATACTTTCTAATTTTCTTTTATTTTCTTTTTCAAGCTCTGATATTTGTATGCCAGCTGTGTTAGGAGGGGTTTTCCTCATGATACATAACAGACATTTGTTTTCACACACAGATATAACAGTGTACCAAATTTAGGACTCAAAATCCCTAATTACATAGTTATTGCCCTTTATTAAAACTTTGTGATCAATAAAGTTATTTTTGGAGAATAAGCATCAGTTTTACTGATACTCTTTTTGTTTTAGCTCCAGAAGTTTTAGCACAGCATCCATATGGGAAGGAAGTGGACTGCTGGTCTATAGGTGTTATAGCCTACATATTGTAAGTACAGACAAGATTTTATTTGTGTGATGTACTATAAATTTGAAGACATTATATTGATGTTCTGTCAAGTGGTGTTATCATGGTAATGGGTTTTCTGTTGGATATTATCACAAGTTTATTTCTACACAGAGAATTAAAATTCTGTATTTCCAAATTAACTCTTATACCTGGTCTTCTCATGAATCGAGGCACTCTTATTCTAAAAAGGGATTGGTTTTTGATAGGCTTGTTGATGGAAGGGAAGCAACTCTTTTTGTTTGGTGACCTTACAATTGTACTCACATTGTATTTGATAAGTAAAGGTAAGACACCAGAAAAGATTGAAATTTAATATTTACTTTGACTCAATCTCTTATTCTGCTGAGTAGCAAATAGTATTGTTGAGGACCACATAGGCCCTTTTATAGCTGGTGTCCATTTTACACTCAACAAGTTCTGCATTGCTTCTTCACAAAGGGAAAAAAAAAATACATATGGATTATCATCCTAATTTTTCCAGTTGATGCAGGCTTGTGTACATGCTGTAGTACAATTTGAAATATGGTTTCTTATCATTATCCCTAATAGCAATCGCTTTGTACATGTGATTGTTAGTGTCTATTCATTTTTCCACTTTTCTGTAACATAATTTTTTCAGGCTTTGTGGATACCCACCATTTTATGATGAGAATGACTCGGCACTATTTCAACAAATACTGAAAGCTGAGTACGAGTTTGACTCTCCATACTGGGACGACATTTCACAATCAGGTCGGCACATAATCCAATATCATGAATATTAAATTGTCTAATTACATTAAGTTGAGGTTTCATATGATTTATTGCCTGAATATATGGGAAAATACCCATGTGGGTTTTCTCTGAATACTCTGATTTCCTCCCACTGAGAGACCCCTCACGCTCTTCCATCCTAACCAACCAGTGATTAATGTATGCTATATATTGATTCAGTAAATTTGCTTCTGATGGAACCAATAAATGGTGTCAACTTGTAATGTTGAAGGATCATATTTAAACTTTATAAATGTTCACAGGAAACAGAACAGCAAAATTATCACCCTGCTAATGGAATTGTATTACAATGTATATTGTATCAATAATTTAATCGATATTTAAAAATTGGTTCAAATTATAATTGGAAGCATTATTGTAGCTACATGATGTATTTACAGGGGAAGTCTTTTTTATTGTCTCTGTTTATTTTCAGCTAAAGATTTTATCAGCCACCTCATGTGCAAAGATCGCAAAAAAAGATTCACATGCAAACAGGCTTTGAAATTTCCTTGGTAAGTTGACCAGTATAATATGTTCATTTTATACACAACACACAATAAAGATATGGATAAGCTCCAATAATAAGGTTGTGGATAAGTAAGGCAACAGGATAATTTGGTTGTAATATACAGTATATAATACTCTTTCCAACAAAAAATCTCAACAACACACATCCTCCCTAGCTTATGCAAAGAAGTGTGATTTAACATTGTCACATCATGTGTTATATGCCGTCATATGGTTAGTAACATCATACAGAGATGAATGAATGAAAGAGAAAGGGTAATATCAGCCTTAATGATGTGATTTTTCAATAAGTATTTCAAACTTTTTCCTGTACAACTATTTCACAAATGTGTCTCCGAGATCTATTGTGTAGTCCACCTGACATTGGCATAACACATCATCCATCTCTGAACTTGTTCAATTTGATCTACTCTAGTCACTGAGATAGCTTAAATGAATCAGTTTTAACATTTTCATTCCATATGTAGGTTCACTTTGTCATCTTTGACCTCAAAAAAGTATTTAGAATAAATTGAACTTCCTTATATGGTAAGTCAATATCTCCTACCTTATTCAGTATTTTTTAAGTTCTTTGCAGATTGGTAGACAAAACATTCACACATTTTACAGAAAAATGTATTTGATGATTTTATAATTGATTGCAGGATAGCAGGTGACACAGCCTTAGAGAAGAATATCCACGCTTCTGTTAGTGCCCAAATCAAAAAGAATTTTGCAAAATCAAAGTGGAAGGTAAGAACTATGATCCATCTCTTCCAATTTTCTACTATGAGATGGAAAAGAGCTCATTTAATTACCAATTTAGTCCTCTGAAGTTCTGGTTTAGAATTAAAAGTTTAAAGTTATCAGCTGTATGGTAAAGTCTTATTCATTGTTCGGCTTTTACGGTATCTTACTCATAATTTGTAATAAAAGATGCTATTCATTGTGTGTCTTTTGTACAGTCTTTGAGATAGGAGGTGGTAGACACTACTGAAGCATATCACATTTTAATTTATACACATGTACTTGACATTCTTCTGAAGCTATTAGATATATCAAATTAACAAAATTATTGAACTATTGGGCTAGTGCACCTCCCTTCCCCATCTAGAGGTGACTTTTCTTTTGATCACTTTGAATTTTCCTCATTCTCCTCCTTGGCTTCAATATTTTGGCCCTTAACATCACTGACGAGTCCTAGAAGGACAAAACAGCTGTATAATGCTATTTAATTCATTGTTTGGCTTTACTAAATAACTTTACTAAAGTTGACCTCATTAGATTTGAAGGACTCTACTCCAATATCCTGCCAATGAATTGTATGGGAATTCCCTTTGATCATGTAGTTAAGGCTCACTACTTGATTTGGTTCCTGTACACTCAAGCTACTGATGATTACATTTAATTGATGATTCAATTATTTAGAGCCTGTCATTGAGGAAACCTGGCTGGTCATTACACTTCCCATGATGATAAGGTTTCATAAGGATTGTGCTCTTCTGAGGACGTAATGTCCTTGTAAGGTGATGTTTCCTTTGGTACAGTCCATTCATGATAATGACCTTCATTTGGTTCATTTGGTCAAATCCTACTTTGACACTGTATTTGATACCTCCATGGTTTAGAGAGAGAAAGTCTGTTGTTTTGCCTACTAGGTATGCAATGTCACTGTTAAGGAGATTTGCATGCTACCATCTGCAATTCCAGTTGTCAGGAACCTGGTGAAGCAAGAGGGTACCTGCTCTCAATTTTAACATATTTTTACTATCCTCTTTGTTATTTCCAATCACTAGTGAAACATGTTTGCATGGCTTCAATGTAAACAATTAGTTATTGTTGTGGGAATCAGTCACCAAGCATCTAAATTGAATACTGTAGAGAAATTCTTGCCAGTTATACTTACGCTGGTTTCACCCGTAGCCTGATAGCTTGATCAATGTTAGCTATACATGATATTTCTGCTATGAGCCATTTTTGTATATATTTAACTGTATGAATAATTGTCCAACTCTGATTTCCTTATACATTTTAGCAAGCCTACAATGCCACGGCTGTCATCCGGCAGATGAAGAAGTTGGCAATGAGTAAAGACGAACATTCCCACTCGTGTACACAAGAAAAGAAGTAAAGAACATGAGAGTTACCTACCTACAGTACACCTTCATCATTATTCTCATTGAAGTTTTCGTTTCTCATCAATCTCATTTGTAGCATTTAACGATTTATGACAACATTGTATCATATTTATTGCCTTTTCCTGATCTAATATTGAACATTAACTTGCCCTATGGTGTTATGTGTCGGTGCCAATGTTGGAGAAACCTTTCCACAGTGACAGTGTATGTGAGAAGATCCCTAGTAATTATAAATCTTGTTTAACTGTTATAGGTAAGATTAGGTAGTGTAATACCATAGTTCAGAGACAGATTTTCTGTCAGTTCTTTGTTGTTTAAAAAGTTCCGTCATCTGCAGACACATGCTATATCCATGGAGCTCGCTGCATATCCTCTTGGCACACAATTTGATTTTAAAATGAAGGCAGATGATGTTTAGTGATCAGAAACAAAAATGGCATCTGATCATATTTTTCTCATGGATAGAAAGTGGCTATTCTAAAATGTCATTTGAAAATTTTCTCCAAAATGTTAGATGTAAGATATGAAAAAGAAACATACAAATTTCATGTAGGTGGAATATATAACCAAATATTGGTTTATCAGATACATACACTCAAGTACTCGTCAAGAATCTCACAAATGTTGAACTGATCATTTAGATAGATTTTTTATGATCAGCTCCTAAAATCCTCTGCTCTGATAGCAAATTAACACATGTAGAAGCTAGCATATTTGTTTTGACATCAGTCAGGACTTGTATTATTATAACAGAATGTGGTCTCTGGTTGTTTTCATTTCACTACGTCTGAAGGGACCATGGCAAAAGGGGGGTAACTCTCTCTGTCAAAATACATTTACTGACTAAATTTTTTTTCACATGAATTTAGAGAGAGAGAAAAGGTTTGGGGATGGGCGGTGGGGGTATCAACGTATCCTGTATCTGTCATATTTACATGATTTTCTTAAACCCTTTTCTATGTAGGTGTATTCATATTGTAAATGTTGGAAATGATGGATTTTCAGCCATCAATACTTATGCACCTAGTGAATGGTATGTGTCCTAGTGAGTGGTTGTTAAATGACCTGGTCCAAAAAACCAGTGAATTTTCGCCATGGCACAGTGTCCATCGTCAATTTGTCTGCCTATCACCTGTGAACTTTTCTTATGTGTATATAATTTACAACTTGTCTTTGCCACTGAGTGGAGTTTGACCAAATTAAGTTTTGTATCAGCCTCCGAGAAGGGGAAGCGATTTTATATTTACATTTGTCTGGGCCTTCCAGTGTTGCAGCATCAGTTGGTTGATGCTATCAAGCTTTGTATAAGTCAGAGGTCTTGCTCCTTGGAGAGCAGAGAGGAGTGATTCAATAGGTGTAAACCGTTAACATCATTCTCCTTCAGCTTGTAAAAAGCTATGATGACCCAACCAAACCAGGTGAATTGATTCCGACCCTATGGGACTCTTGTATCGTGTTGATAAGGACCCCGCAATAAATCTTTATAAAAACAATCTTACTGCAGTTGGTTTGTTCAGATATCTGTTGTTGAAATATTTTCCAGAATAATGTTGTTTTTGTTGTCTTTTTTTCAATCTCTATATATTAGTAAGATAGCTGTTGTTGCAACAAGAAAATTTGCATTAATCATAATGAACGGTAATATTGTTAAAATCTTTACGGTAGATTTTTTCTGTAGAGTGTTGTATAGTAAGGGATTATAGTAACATAGATTTGGTTGTATTCTAACAGAGTAAGGATTAAAAAAAAAAGATAGATCATTCAAACAATCGAGTCATCCAAATATTATTTAGATGATCCATACTGGCAGCCAGTATTCAAAAGATTTTTTTATCACAAACATTTAGATGTAATGAAATTTAATCAGATGATGGGTTTGACAGGCATTCCAAGTTGGAAAATGAAAATTAAACATTTATTGTGATATTGAGATTTTACTAAATTTTGGGTATAATCACGTTACTGTACAGACTTGAATGTGACCAACACATTTAGACATGAAACGATAAAAGGAATAAAATGTATGTTTATTTATAAATGTATTTTATTGATGAAATGTTGCTGTTGTATGCTGGTATTTCTCATTGCATGGGAAATCTGTTGACTTATTTATATCATTATGTTGTATATTTCTTATTTTCAAAATAGCAGTCGAGAGAACAAGGCAGGGTCTATTATATACATACTGTCTGTATAAAGCTTGTGTTAAGACATTGTAAATTATATTGAGTCTGACAATTAAGAAATTGAATTTTCTGTCTCAGGAGACAATTTTTACATTACATTTTTTCTTTTCTGTTTTTTTCTTATTTTCAAAATAGCAGGCGAGAGAACAAGGCAGGGTCTATTATATACATCCTGTCTGTATAAAGCTTGTGTTAAGACATTGTAAATTATATTGAGTCTGACAATTCAGAAATTGAATTTTCTGTCTCAGGAGTCAATTTATACATTACATTTTTTCTTTTTTTTTTATTCAAAGACTAATTTCAGATATTATGTGTTCAAAACATATGTTTTGTATTTATAAACTGAAAAATGTATGGTATATTTAAATTCCCATTATTGTTTACATAAACTCACCTGGTCGGAAGGGCCATGTGAGCTTATGCTGTGGCACAGCATCCGTCATCCATTGTTTGGCATCAACTTTTTCCTTTAAACAACTTCTTCTCAATAACCAATGGACCAAATGTTTTGATATTTGGCTGGTATGTTCCTAGGATAAAGCCGGACAAAGTTTGCTAAAAGAAATGACCTTGACCTATTTTCAAGCTCACAGGGGTCAAATTTGATAAAACCTTGCAAGGGTCTCTACTCATGAACTATAAGAACTAGAGGAATGATATTTGGCTGGTATATTCCTTTAATGAAGCCACTAAAGTTAGCTAAAAGAAATGAGTTATATTCAAAGTCACATGGGTCAAATTTGTTTAAACATTTAAGCAACTTCTTCTCATGAACTCATAGCCCTAGAGGCATATTCGGCTGGTACATTCCTAGGATGATGCCTGGCGAAGTTTGCGAAAAGAAATGATCTTGACTTAAATTCAAGGTCACAGGGGTCAAATTTGTTAAAACTTTTAAACAACTTCAACTCACAAACTAATAGGCCTGGAGGCACGATACTAGGTGAGTGTTGCAGGCGCATTGGGCCTCTTGTTTTAAGATATTTTTACATCATTGAAACATGAACATTGATGACATATACTGCACTTGATTGGATCTCAACACAAACATCCAGAAATGTGTAAGTTGAAAGTACTATGGGAGCTGAGCTTGAGGTCCCAGAGTATTCAGTTAAAACTTCTAGAGGAAATATGAAATGTTAGAATAGAGTATTCCAAAAGAAGACAATGTAGTCATATAGCTTCTACTGATTGGCGAGTTGTAGGTGGTTACAGATGAAAATTACGTTAAGTGCAAGGATCATGAAAATTCTGATTTTAAAAATTCTAGTCTCATATATCTCGTTTTTGTACATGATTAGGTCAAAGTCGTGATTTTCATAATAGATCATCTTATTTGTATTTTGCAATTTGTTGCCGATATTGAAGTCGCTATTTTTAAATAAAGATATGTTCAGAATCTTGTGTCATTTTAGGTGCTCATAGCTTTGCATGATTGTGTTGTTTGGAAAGCGAGTATTGTCATTTCCAGTGGTTAGATCTGGACCAATCGTATCGCAGCATTCAAATGCTATGACTATACCCCTTGGTATTTCTCCTCAGTGTAATCCAGTGCCATCCGTGTTTATGATTACAAGAATTTGTGAATAATCGTGAATTTTGATTTTGAAATAGAATGTGATTATTGGATTTTGTATGAAATCGGTAACAAGTCATAATGATGATGTCAGACATTAAACAATGATTTCTAATGACATCAAACAGTAAACAAATCATGTTTGTTCAAATTAGTATGATAACAAGTAGTTATCTGATTTGAAACTAATCATGATTATTGATGGAAAGTATGGTAACATCCTGATTTGAAGTTAATGGCACTACATTTGTTCAATGTATTTTTGTCGTAGATATTATTTTGTAAAATAAATTGTATTTATATTTGTGTAAATAATGAATACCAAATTTTTATGGTGTTCTTAAGAACGTGTACAACTACGCAAACGATACCATTGATTACTTAACTACTTAATAATGTCAATTAGAAAATCTAGGTATGTGACATTTTTATGTAAGCTTAATAGGAGTTTATCTGTACACATTTAAATGACCAGTAGAAATAGTTTAGCTGTTTACTGCAAGATATGTAAAGGTATGCAGATTTTATGAATTGAAATATATTTAATGTATATTTTTTCACACCTTAGACATATATATCTGCACTATGGTAACAGTATTTTTAAGTCTGTTATGATACATCATTATTGAGTATATACTTCAACAAAGGTAAGAAAGTACTTATATTAGATACTGATTAGTAATCATCTACATGTTTATATATCAACTGCTGCACATATGTCTAAATATATATAGTAATCATTCTTTTGCTGAATCACTATTAGAAAAAAAAAACTAAGAGTTTTTGTAGGTAAACCCTCTGATGACTTCAGTACCTACACCTACGTACATCTCAAATATAATGGCACTTCTATCAGACAACCAGCACCTTCAACCATAAATTTGCTTCTGTCACATCGATTCAAACACATCTGTCACTCAGTATTTTTGTAGGCAATTTACAGCAAACATAGCTTCAAATCATCATAGGTAAAGCTGATTTTCCAGTACATAACTTGTCACAAACATTAAGGAAATCATTTTATCAAGGCTTTACATTGAAAATATTTTATATTTTTACTGAGTGAAAATAACTAGTTTTGATGTTTTCACTTGTCAGTGAAACTGCAGTATCAGAGTCTCCCAGAGTGCATTGTGGTACCTGTAAGTACGACAGCTCGAGTGGTAATAGGGAAATTTATCCCTATAGAATGGGAGAAAATTTTTACTGTATTAATCCAGGCCTATTTTAAATTAATGTTAAGAGTGTTACACATGTTGCAATTGCCTTGTATTATTTGAAGACCTGTGTCTTATATACAGTAATGGTAATAGCACATATGAATACACAGAGTTACAATTGAAAGTGGTATTAATGACAGGCAACAAAAATGTAATAATTACAACATCCATTGTTTCTGAATGAATAACATTTGTATTTCATCTCATGGGTGGAAACTTTTCATATTTTTTTCACTCGACCGCAATAACAAAGTTTCCACCCTACTTGATGAAACGTTAACGTCATTCACCAAGAAACAAAGAAATGTACCCATAGGAAAATATGTAGATTGGCCTTTTCTTTCAGATGCTCAAATCTTTATATAACGCAGGCTGTCTTGAGGATGTGAAACTTTGCCAAACAAACATGCTCCCTTTCTTGATGAAGTAGCATGTTCATTACCTTCCTGCAAACTACACTCGTTTGCAAGCGAATATGCTGTCTCGAACCACCGTAAAATAAAAGGTGAAAGATGCTGGTGACTAACAAATTACAATGGTCGACATATATGTCACCTATTTATATGTCAGGTTCAAAAGATGGGTTTGTCTTGAAATTACAACAGCATATTCTAGATAAATGTGCAAGTGTCCAGGAAATTGCTTTTATGTTTGATATGCAGGAAGGTATAGATACTAAAGTAAACTCATTTAAACAAACCATTTAATGACTCCAAAGTTCTCACAAAATATGATATTCTGGTATCTAATTGCCATAGTAGGATTATTTTAATTAAAAATAGGTAATCTATTTTGCATATTTAGTTTATAGCATTAATATGAATTATGTATATTTATCATTTATATATCTTTTCGTATATATACACACAGAAACTTTCAGTCATTGGTGCCATTTTTAGACATAACACAAAAGCAACTGACAACCTTGATAAAATTGAATCTTAAAAAGCAATATACTTTATTAGGGAAATTT